CCAGGTGCAAAATCCGGCACTTGCCCTTGTTAAACTTCAGACGGTTGCTGATTGCCCAGCTCTCTCATTTGTCCAGATCTCCCTGCAGGGCCTCTCTCCCAAGAGCTCCTCCCAGTTTTGTGTCATCGGCAAACTTAGATAGTAGTCCTTCAAGTCCTGCGACCAAGTCATTTATGAAGACATTAAAGAGCACTGGCCCCAAGATGGGATCCCTGCGGCACCCCGCTAGTGACTGGTCACCACCCTGATGTGACCCCGTTTGCTATAGCCCTTTGAGCCCGACCCGTCAGCCAATTGCTCTCCCATTGCATTATGTGTTTATCCAGCTGTATGCTGGACATTTTGTCCAGGAGGATACTGTGAGAGGCAGTATCGAAAGCTTTACTGAAATCCAAAAAGATTACCTCGAAGATGTAGAAGATTACATTCTTGTGAAGCTGGAGAGTGCGGGGGCTGCGTGGCTCGCTGGTGAGCTTCAGTCCTGTTCGGCTGGAGATGCGGGACGAGGCGGGGCTGTGGTGTTGGGTTTATGTGAGCGCGTTTGCTGCGTACGTGCGTGCTGGTAAAGGCGCTGCTTGCGCTGTGTTCTCTGCGTGTGTGTGCGCGTGTTTGTGTGTATCTGCCGCTCTTCAGGGGCTCAGCCTCACTCCTGGCTCGACCCGCAAGCAAAACCGGCAGCAGCTGCATCCATCCATCTATCCATCTCTGCATCCATCTTCTCCATCTAAGCTGGGAGAAGCCTCAGTCTGAGAGTGCACCCGACTGGGCTCTAGTGGCCGGGAAGGAGAAATCCCATGTCCCGACGTCAACTGGGTTCCTCTGCTCCTTCAGAAGTCTTCACGTAACAATGGGAGAATTCCTCGCCAGCTTGTACCTGGTGTTCTTCCCTACGGTCCGAAAGAAGTGCACAGCCTTCTGTCCACGTAACCTGTCCTCGCCCACGGCCTGGACAGAGCTGCCCCTGAAGGGAAAATAAGTTCAAAGCTTTCCTTTGGATTCTTTTGTTAGTGTGGCAGAGCTGGCTGCAGTGGTGTCCAGGCTTTATCTTCAGTTTCTCGAAAGCGTTTTTTCTCCTCTGGAGGAAAATGCAGAGCTTAAAAGCTAGTTGTACTTAGATTTTTCTGAAAATGGATCAACGCTGTTTAGCTGGCACTTTTAGAGGCAGTTGGGAACTACAGGGGCCCTGAGACTATAGTGAACCTTGACTTCAGAATAATTTGGAAGACTTGGCATTTCTTAGAGCTCATCCCGATTTAAACATAAAAAAAGTCAGTTCTGTTCTTAGCTTTATGTTTTTAGTAAAGTATGGTATGTGTTAGAAACTGTTTTTTCAGAGATGTAAAAATTCAGGTATGTGAATGTATCTTAACTTTTGAAATAGTGAAAGTGGAATAATTGGATTATTTTGTAAGAAGAAATGTGTGAAGTGGTCCAACCTGATTGACACTTGTGCCACTTGGGTAAAGATCATGAGACAGATAAATCTGCTCTTCCAAGTTTAGTGTTGGAGAGCTATAAACACATACTGGGGAAGTGTCCTGGTTTCGGCTGGGGTAGAGTTAATTCTCTTCTATAGTAGCCGGTAGAGTGCTGCGTTTTGGATTTAGGATGAGAATTATGTTAATGGCACACTGATGGTGTAGTTGTTGCTAAGCAGTGCTTACACCGGTCAAGGACTTCTCAGCTTCCCGTGCTCTGCCGGGTGCACAAGAAGCTGGGAGGGAGCACAGCCGGGACAGCTGGCCCAGACAGGCCCAAGGGCTATGCCGTACCGTATGGCGTCATGATGTGGTTCTTAGGGACATGGTCTAGTGGTGGACTTGGCAGTACGGGGTTAACGGTTGGACTCGGTGATCTTAAAAGTCTTTTCCAACCTAAACAATTCTATGATACTATGAATGGAAAATAAACTAAAAGCGTTCCTTTGGATTCTTTTGTTAGTGCTGCAGAGCTGGCTCGGTGGTGTCCATGCTTTATCTTCAGTTTCTCTAAAGCACTTTTTCTCCTCTTGGGGAAACTGCAGAGCTTAAAAGCTAGTCGTACTTAGATTTTTCTGAAAGTGGATAAATGCTCTTTAGCTTGCATTTTCTTAAAGCCATTTGGGAACTACAGGGGCCCTGAGACTATAGTGAACCTTGAGTTCAGAATAATTTGGAAAACTTGGCATTTCCTGGAGCTCTTCCTGATTTAAACATTAAAAAAAAAGTCAGTTCTATTCTTAGCTTATGTTTTTGTAAAGTATAGTATGTATTAGAAACTGTTTTTCAGCAATGTAAAAATTCAGGTATGAGAATGTATCTTAATTTCTGGAGTAGTGAAAGTGGAATAATTCGATTATTTTGTAAGAAGAAATGTGCGATGTGGTCGAACCTGATTGACACTTGTGCCACTTGGGTAAAGATTATAAGATTAAATATGCTCCTCCGAATTTTATGTTGGAGAGCTATAAACACGTACTGGGTAAGATTCTTAAGAGGGTGAGCAAGTGGCTGTGTGGTGCTTGGTTACCGACTGGGGTTAAAGCACAACAGTAAGATTCTTGCTGTCTCCAAACATCTCTCCAACCCTAATGAAAACCTGTTCTTTAAAATCTTTTCTCAGGCAAGTGAATGAAAACGCCAGAGAATTTTAGTTGCTTAGTAAAACCTGAGGGTTGCTCCAGGGTAATAAAACCCTTGGGTACGATTAAATAATTGCCTTCTTTCTGCTGGGGATTATTCTGGTATGCTATGTGAGCGTAGCGTGCTCACCTATGTATCTGAATATCCATACTGTCATGGAATGGCTCTGCTGACAGGAGCGGTGAGAGTGCACGTGGTGGTAGAGACTAAAACGCCTCCTCAAATGGCAAGGACTGGGAGAGAAATGCTGTGCCGCTCTGTTTGTCTTCTGCTAAGTGAAACTTGGGAACGAGAGAAAAGGTAGAACCTCAGCCCCAGGCAGGAGTATTCTTCCTCCTGCGTCTTCCGTGACTCATTGCTTGGCACTCTCTTGAAGGACGTGAGCATGCTTTTGTTTTGGAAAACACACAGGAACAGTGAAAGGGAACATGAGGTAAAGTTTACTCTTTTTTAGTAACGGTGCAGGTAATATGACTCTCTCTTCAGCCATCTAGCAATATTCAGGCTTTGCAGCAGGACTCACACGTCAGCAGGACTTCCAATATTAGCCCAATACGTGTTTCATAACCCGCCGTAACAGTGCCACCAAAGAAGAGATTAGATCGCCGGCAAGATAATTTCACAAAACATAGAAAATTGCACAGAAGTAGGGCATGACTGTAATTTAAGGGAAATGGTGCAGATAAATCCACCTTAATGGCTCTGTTT